TATAAAACTAGTACTTAACAGAAATAAGCGGCCGATACCTAGTCAGCAAGATCATGCGCAATGCGGTGCGAACATATATTATGGCAAGAAATTACGTACTTCTGCTGAGAAATAAGAAAGATAACCCTATTACTTCCAGAAATTAGATAAGGACATTGGTATTAGATAAAGGCACCACTACCACACCACCACACATTATGGAACATGACTACACCAACCACTAAAATGAATCAATACGCTCAGAAATAGAGGGAGTGGAAATTTGAGTATTTATTCCTTTACACGATGTCACCTGATCAGTGAGCTAGGCTGAGGAGTTTTGTATGTGATCTGATGAGATTGGTGAGGTAAGTGACCATGAGGAGGTCCTTGAAAGACGAGCTGATGAGCTCCTCAACGTTGTCCGAATCCAGTTTGGGTGTCGCAAAGATGAGTCGGGCAATGGCCATGCCGAGTTCATTGTCCGCACCCAGGTCATTATTTGCGCACGCCTCCACCTTTGCCGTCACCTTCTCGAGCATCGACAACAGGCGCCCAGTCAGGTTGTAAAGATAAGACAAATCATCTGTAGCCTATCGAATAAAGATAAGGACGTCGACTCATTTTAGTTAACATACTAAATTCTAAGGCCAGACGAGCACCTATATACACCAAGAGCAAATCGGAAAAAAAACACTAATAGATGTACATGGTGGTCTGAATCTGTAGAGGCCACGTGTCATTTGCAACCATACCAGCATGTCTTAACCACTAAGAGAATTGGTATGAGTGAAGAAATGTGAAAACAAGAAGCTTGTTTGAAACTCTTATTTAAAGGCAAGTAGACGGATTAGTGATTATATGACAGACTGGCTATCGTATAAAACCAATGAATGCGCTCCCATGGAAAATGTTTTGATAAGGCGTTCGATAATTTGGATAAGACTTAAATAAACAAATCGTGCCTGTCAAAAGCATGGCGCCATTGGTGATTCAAGATCGGTAATTGCTACAAAGTATGTAAAGTCAATTTCGCTTGCATTGGCACCAATTTTACATGCTCTTCATTCAAACCCACCTTCCTTGAATCAAAAAAACTAGATTCTTTTTGGACATTAAAACGTTATAAGGGCGAGAGGGTGACGTTTTGGGATTACGAATTAATCATTTCAGATTTATAAGTGGTTGCGAGTTAGCTCCATATCAAATAGAACAAAATTTGAATGTCATAATACTGGCTAGAGGAGGAACAGATAGACAAGATACCACACACGAGTGCAAAAAATAGCTAGAAATTTTGTTACTGAAATATGAAGAACAAATGAAAAAGGGCGAAAATAATCAGTATTGGAGAATCAAAACATGCCTAGTTCTTACATCTGGAAATACAAGACACAACGGCTAGGATTAAACCAATGGCTGACGAAAACAAACCTAAAAGAACCCAGAGCGATAACCCCCTGAAAACGACAACAACAATGACAATAAGTGCTACTGGATACTGCCGAGATTTCGGAATGCACCGAATGAAAATTCGAAGTTGGAAACAAAAGCGTGACTTGTTTCAAAATAGCCCAACGCATTATGGCTGATTAGTTGTTTGGGTGACAAATTTACAGTTCGATTTTATCGATTATTAATAAGGTAAATTTAGGTGGGCAACTAGAATGCTAGGAAATACATAAATGAGGCACATTTAAATTAACCAGTCTAATTCGGCATCAACATAAAAAAACTACTAAATTCAACAGCCTCGGTAAAAAAAACCAAAACGCTATGCTATTGACAACCAGACAAGTTCTGGAGAAAAGCATAAGGTTGTTAGCTTAAACGGCACCCTGCAATAAAGTGTGGTTCGGCATTGGAAAGCAGAGACCACAGACACTTCTAAGGTTCATATAACCGACTAACCTCTGAGAACTGATTATCCTTGCTGAGGGAATCTGCTACCATCACGTCGACCGCACAACGCTCAGCATCAAAGAACTCAATATTCACTTCAAGAGACAGGAACATTGTGCCCATTGTGCCGTCCGGAATGCCAATACTCCTACTCTGGAAAGCTTGGATACTCATTTTTTTGCCAATCTCCAGATTAGGGTTTACTAGAAGGAAAATAGGGTTTTTAACATGCTTCATGTAGTAGTCCTGATGAATTAAAAGAGAGGACTCCGTGACCTCGCTGCCAGTAGCGTACCAGCCGACGGGGCGAAGGTTGCGATTGACCTATGGATCAAAATGGAAATAAATCAAGTGGCAGGAGAATATTATAGATAGGGAAACACAATACCTTGCGTTCCAAATTCAGCATTGCACGTCCGAATTCAAAATTCATTGAAACATCCGTATTTGACACGTTATGAGGTACAGCGAATGAATGAGTAACCTCAATTATGCCCTTTTCGAAAGTACCTAACAATATGCAAAAACAGATATGGTTGTACCGAGTAGGGTTCCGACTACATTTTCGGCATCTTCATCGCGTCGTTCATAAGAATCAATTATAGATAGGAGAACCACTGGATGGACATGCACTTTGGCCACTGCTTCCATTATTAGTGTGGACTTACACTGTCACACTGCACTATTTAGTAGTTTATTGGCCGTAAAGTCAAGACCCAATAAAAATGCACCTTGAATAATTCTCCTTGGAGTACATCCCCTTGTACTATATAGCCGATTCGATTATAGTTCATTATAAAACCACCACACCTACAATGATTATTCTAACGCCCGCATTAATGTGATCCTCTAATCCAGGCAAAATTTCAAGAAAGATTTGAAAGGAAACAACTTAGTTGCAGGAATTGACTTTCCGGGATATTATTACAAGTCGTAAACATGAATGGCATATTCAAATGTTGAATTGTAACTTACTCATATTCCTATTAAAACTGAACCTTCTTTGTTAAGCAGAGTGGTGGAAAGAATCTGTCTTGAATAATATGCGGCATACATATCTTATAAACCTTTGTTCATTTTCGAGTTAAGCGTTCCACAATTCACCAATGTGATGTGAAATTCCAAACCTGCCGACTCCTAAAATATATGTGGGTGGAAATTATTCATGTATTCGATTCCCATAGTTCTCAGGATTTCTTGGGTTAATCCGACCCATGAACGCTCTAACAAGTAAATGAAGAAGAGATTGGTTCGAATATCACAGTAAGTGCACATCTAACAACCCTCAGAGTTCCAAATTGGCAGTCGTAAAGATTGGAAACGGAAATTGTCAAAGCAAACAGGGAAAACTATAACTTTTAAGCAGCTAATTAACTAGTATCCAGAGAAGGATTTGTAAAATATTCAGAAAGCATATTAAATCCTACAAAAAATTAAGGACCGACTACATAAATCCAATCTACACTACTACATCATTTCAAATGAAGTTGTTTATTCTGTTTATTTTTGTTAAATGCCTTTGTCTTTCTCTTTTCCTCAATTTTTTTCCTTAGAGATGATGATGGCTTGTACTACCGATCTTATTTATATATTACTCTTAGCTCTTATATTTGCGTCACTTAACATTCATCTTTACGCGTTCTGCAAGCTTTTATTACATTCAATAACGCCAAATAACGTGACTCCTCCTAATATTTCACTTCCTCATTATCGATTGTGGAGTTTTTCACGGACAACTGCATTAAAAAAGTCTGACAGCTGCGATTACCGTCCATCATATTCCTAAACCGCTATGTCCCAAAATGTTTGAGCTCAAATGACAGTGGCAGACTTCCCTGTCTACCCCCTGGCGCAAAATAGCGAGTTCCAGTCTTCGATCGGATTTTTAGCTTTTTCAGAGCATTGGTCGTTAAATCTATTGCTGGAAATCCATGTGTTAGAGCTTTTTTCCATATTAAGTAGTGTTGAGTATTGTAAAAGGCTAGGATTCGTTAGTCTACGGTCCTACATTCAGAAACTCTTACGGATATTTCAATTAGCCTTGTCACTGTATGTTAATCTTCACACTCTGATTATGAATTGGAAACAGTCTTCTTGGCCGTAATTCATCTGGGATTAATTCATAATCGATTTGACTTGTTAGGCGTAATGGCTAGTTTTTTGATACTTCAATGAAGTGGAGACTTTCTTTAGCACTCTTAATGAGTCCAGCATAGCAGGTATCGGGTTTTGCCAAGTCGATAATTCGCCGACCGGGAACAGCACCTGTTGACTTATGTAGATGGAGCCAATTTCAAAATGATTCTAAATGACTAATTTCCTAACCCCTACTTTGCAGTCTATTCAAAATTCCTAGTTTTTCAGGAAGAGCTCATAGTGTTGCCATTTCCTCTACCGGTGTAAGTTATATTTTTCGCATCACTTCTTCAGAATTTGGCTGCTGGGACATCCTGTTTCAACCAACTCACCTTCCCTTGCTCTGTGGGTTATTTGATCGCGTGCATTTCGCTAAAAACTTGCTTTTTGCCCACCCAATGACCAGCCATCCTCTGCGTAAATTTGCTGACACTGTTTCACGTGCTATCTACAATCTTCTGCATCACATACGACAAATCATCAAAGACTCTGTGCTACTATCAAACCACTTTAACTTTGGTTTGGCAAATCTCTGATGAATATAGTAAATTATGACTTCAATACCGGGATATCTGGCAGGATAGTTGGATTTAAGAAAATCCCTTGGCGTTTGCTAACCCGTAATAGAGTATGTGGAAAGAATTACGTTAAACTAAATAGGCATCCTACAACGGGACGTTTGTGTGCAGTACTAGGATGAGTTCAGGTGCCGAGAAGCTGATTCTCCCTGGCGTGCATGTGATATGAACTAAAATTACTGCACGCCACATTAGATGGAAGGCCAATGCGATGATTACTTAGAATTGACGTGCAGTCTTTAACATGAATAAATAAAGCCGAGTATATATGAAATGTTGAGTCATGGAAGGAATTGGGTATTTGGTTAAATTAAATTGCTGCAAGAGAACGAGGTGAGGGGCCCAGCGCACCAAGCATTTCACCATGCATTTTGTTGGATTGTTAAACACCTTCCTGTAGAAAATGCAAGAGTACGCACAACCATTTCACAGTGTTCCCTTTGCCTCAGCACCACTGGTTTGAAGTGTTCATTGAGTTCGGGAAATGTTTTTCACTATACCTTCAGCACGTACATAGTTATTGGTTAGGGTATTGACAAAATGTGACCGGGCAAATGTAAAAGGCATAATAATTTGCGTGGGCAACAGTATTGCAATTGAACTAAGGATATTTGTAAAGTAGCACAATTAAAGACAGGACATTTTGTGTTCCTGTTTGCAGCAATTAACACTGCTGGGATGAGGTTGTTCATGTGGACAAATCGCAATTCATGTTACGATCCTCCATGCTCCGTAGAAGTTTGACTACATTGGAGGGGGGGTGAACCCATTTAAGCTAATTAGTCCCCCATTTCGGCACTGAACTTAGAAGATGCGCCAAGACGCCACTTTGGTTCCACTTCATGAGGCAATAATGTGCTTGGTTCAGAAATATAAGATCTCACTAAAGGTCGCTTCGAGCATCTTCCTTCTCAAAGGATTGCGGAAAGGTCTTCATTGTGGTAGCACGAAGCGTCTGCTTGGGGATGTAGTAACAGTGTGATGGGTACTTAGAGGAGCATACTTTGGAATTCAAAATGCTATTTACTACGATAGGCTAGGGTGTCTTTGATGGCTTTCCAAAGACCCTCTAACGGCAATCTGGGAGGTTAGTCTTGTGAATCTATCAAGACAGCAGAGGTGACGTCCAGCGAATCGAACTTCATCAAATGAGCTGTCTCTCAAGGGCAGCGCTCATCGCCCAGCACACAAATTGACTTGAATTAAGACAGGAGCCGACTTCTGAATGCAAGAGAATCGAGTTTCCCTGAACGAGGTCTTGGCCACTGACTTGCTGAAGCGACTTAATTGACAAGCGCTGTGACAGTGCACTTCCACGCCTGAGGCTTTCGAGCGTGTCGGCAATGCTCAGTCTCTGCCCACGTGACCTCAACTCAATTAGACGTGGTCTCGTATGTTTCTGCCTCAAAACGTCGGACGTGAGTTTGTCACGTGACGCTGTGGTCAAATCCGCCCTGCAATGTCCCCCGATCACCCGTTTCAACTGATCACACTAATGAAGACAATTCTTATCAGGCATAATCCCCAAAGAAGTAGGTCGATGGTTGCTGAGGCCTGCATCCACTGGCGTGTTAATTCACCTGGTCCAACTGACTCAGCCGCACGTTTTCGCATCTCGTGTTTCCGGCCTTCGCAACACCAAAAGCAGAAAACCTGGTTATTCTTTTGCCCATAAGTGCACCTCATGTGCCAGCGCGAAACGCTCTGAGAAGGATGAATTTGTTATGGGCCCCAGCATGTGGTTTTGAACCATGCCGAGGCCACGGAATTAACCCTGGCCCGATTACGCTTGCCTGATACCCGCGATGAAGAAAAAGAACGGAGAGGACGGGACACAACCGTTTACTTCAGAGCTCAACCAAAACTGGTGTCGTTGTGTCGTGTGTGGGGTTCGCGCGTGTGTATTTATTATCTCGGATGCGTGAGTCAGATGCGCTAACATCGAGACCTAGGTGTGAGGTTAATCCAAGATACATATACGTGTGAATGAAGGGGGAGTTGAGGAGTCGCGCGGCTGGCGACATGCTGCGAAAAAGGGGAACCCTGTGTCGGAGGCTGAGCGATCGGATTAGGGGGTTGACTAAACACGATTCACAAAAAATTCTGTCCGATAACTCGATTAATGTGCAGTTTCAAATAAGAAAAGGGAAAACAACGCAGCACAAAGTGTAATCCGTCGTTGCTGGATCTTTTTTCTCCAGTGCCCATTCACAATAAAGATGCAACGTGTTGTCTAGTTTATCTTCTGAAGAGGGTCATGGTGTTTGCGTGAAAGTGGGCAAGGTAATATCGGTGTCGGAAGAAGTGCCTTACTTCCAATTATTTTATCCGAAACTAACAAACCGGACGCTTCCCAAACAGCGTTTCTAATGTGGCCCTGCACAGTCGCTAAAAAGACAAGGTCATTGAAAAGCACTCCCCGCAGGAGGGGGCAGTTTATGCTTGCATAGGCGGTCTGCCAGGAAAAGTACCAAATGCAAAAAGGCTTTGTGAGCAGAGGTAGATGATTATCACTGGTAGTTTTCTATAGAACCAGGAAAGGTTGTGGTAAAAAAGGTTGAAGAGGGAATGATGCTATCAGTATGCTCGGGTTCATCATAAGAAATCATTCATACAGTGTTGGGTGTAATTGGCGGCAGATGCTCGGAACTCGGCAGTCCTCCAGATTTCGGCCAGCTTTCGACACTCTGTGTTGATCACGAACTCAACGCGTTCTCGGTCGTGCATTCGTAGAAGGCATTTGGTCGTTTCTAGCGCCTAAAAAGTACGGAAGGACGAGCGTTGGGCCTAGGAAGACAGCGATAAGGTCACCGGGAGTAAATCCCTTATTGAGCCGCAAATACAATTATGGCTAAATAAGCAAATCTCACCACACCGACAGGACTGACAAGTGACAAGCAACAACGCCAGCTGTGGGTTTAGTTACACAGAAGTCCAATGAGCAGTGATGATCTCATCAGACCAACAGAGGGAATGCGTAACCGCACCGCATGAACTTGCAAAAATCACACTGAGCCTTGCCCATAAAAGATTAAGAACTGTGAATCAGATTGGATTCAAACTTTTAGTCGAACTAGGCAAATCTTAAAATTCTCATTGCAAAAAAGAGATCCAACAGTTGTTTTTTTAACCGATCCGTGGCACGTTTAGAAAAAAAGTGGCTGTACATTGTTGGCGTAATAAGGAAAACTTCAGTGTTTAGGTAACAAGGGCCACAGCTTTCACGGACATTAAATTTACAAATATTAAATATTACAGCCTTAGCGAGTGTTACATTCGCAGAGGTTATGACGGTCAATCATGGACCGTGTCACACACTTCAGCGCTCCTTGAATTAACGACGATTCTCTGGTCAGAAAGTCGAATATAGTTGGAACAGCCAAAGTACCCAATGGCGACAAATGATGAACAGTTCAAGCATTTCGTGGTATACACTCTGACTTCGTATTTTAACTAAATCTATCGACACCTTTTCAGACATTAGTTTGCAAAATCAATCTGACATTGGCAGCCACCGGCCTAATTGAGGCATATATAATAAACTAGTCTATTTTTCAAGAAGAAGGGGGCAAAAGGAACAACGACAGGTCTTGTACTACCTCCATGCATCCACTGAGGCACCGCCAAACTCTCGCCAGGTAGGCCTAAAGATGTACGGATCTATGACATACGGTGAAGGTACAACGTGGTGTTTGTTTCTAGAGTTTGTTGCTGGTTTTGTGAACAGGGTGTGCCAATCAACGAGGGAGGTGTGTTTCACCCAAGCCGACAGTGACTCATCAACGGCTTTGGCTTGATGGCAAGACGGAATTGAGACCACACTCTCACTCAAGACATTGAGACAACTTCGCCTTGGTGCACTGTAGACAACGGGGGGATTCATTCCTAAGCACCAAATGGTTTGCCGTAAATTCACGGGGGAAGGGACAACTTCGCCTCAGGACTTACAAACTGACACCACAAAGGAAAATGCGCGATCGTGATGTTAATCAAAAATTCAACTATTCAATCATTTCGAGTGAAGGCAGTTGCATTTAGGCACATACGAGTAATTTCGATGTTGAATGCATAGAAAAGTCGAACATCCTTGGATTATTCAAGGAATTTCAAAAATGGCAATCAAAAAAACTTGAATGGTCACCTCATCGATTTCTGATAAGGAACTAGACTTAGAGGGTCTACAATGAAAGTCATTATTATGATGGGATACACACTGGGTGGCAAGATGGAATTTTCACCGGTCTGTAAAATGCCCACAGGAAAGTCAGTTGAAAAAAATGTGCAAGTTTCGCAGTTAACGGATGAGACCACTACGAACTCCATTTCGCATTTCCATCCGAGGAATTATAAGACACCACATTAAACACTCTCAGGTGTTTAAAAGTAACGAAAGCATCAAGTATTTGAGATTCCATTTGATTCTTATGCGAAGATCAGGTTCAACCTTACAGATATGGAAGTGCAGATGGACAAGCAAAGATACTTTAAATAAGTATTCCAGGATAGCTACTTTGCTTAAAAATTAGAAAAAAAAAAACATTAGAAATTACAGTTGAGAATTCTAATTTAAGGTAACGTAGGAATTCAGTTTGGAGCAGTGTTAGACACATGCATGCATTGCTTACCATGGCCGATTGTGATGCAATCCTAGCACAACGCAGTGACAGCTCCTGGGGGAAATTCTTTGGGAAAAGCAAATCTGAGAGTAGGCCACGTTGAAGTGCCTCACGCGCTGAAAGTCTTCGCCCGGCGAGAATAAGATCGTTTGCCAGCGGGGCACCCACCCTGCTGGTGAGGGTTAAACAGGCTCCGCCCTCAGGCACCTGACCCAAGGTTGAGTAGGCAGTGTGAAAGGTGGCAGTGTCGCTGGCGTAAACCAGATCGAAGAGGGGTAGGATCGCCGTACCCAAACCCTCAGCGGGACCGTTAACTCCAGCCAAGAGGACCTTCGGGAAAGCAGAAACCTCGAGAAGGAAGGCGCGGAGACGTTCCACCATACAGTCGACAAAACAGGAGTCAGCAGTAGCGCAAAGAGAAGGAAGATCGACCCCCGAAGAGAAAACGCGCCCAACGCCGGAGATGGCAACCACGCGGATCGGTTCATCTTCGACTGCCTGCTGCAGCGCGTCGGTTAGTTCGCTGAGAACCTACATCAAAAGGGAAATGGCGGAAATGACTTCACACGAGGCAAAAGTCTGATTCGGTTATTTGGGATCATGTTGCAAGTTTTTAATATTGAACTTCTACAAAATAAACCGTATTTAACAAATCCAGGGTAAAAAGACCATAAATAATAGTGAGGAACAATAATAATAATAAGACGATTCGTAACCGATTAACTTAACAAAGGAAAAAAATTCCCAGCAGCTCTTTTCGCAAGCATGAACCGTGTGAATTAGCTTTCTTCGTGTACTGATCAGACACCGACCAACTACCGTGAAAGTTTGTCGAGTTACTTGAATAGGCATCAAGAAAAATCCACCTTGCACCAGTTTCGGTGGGCAAAAATCAATTAACTGCGTTGTACCTGCTATTTTTTATAAGAAAATAAGGCCGAAATCACACTATTACCTAACACCTCTTTGAAAAACGTAGG